TCTAATTGGCTGTTTATTTGGTGTCTTTATGATTACTTAAAACTCAGCTTAAAGCAATTCAAACTATTTCTAATAAATGCAGAAATAATTTTTTAAATGTAACTGTATTACTAGCATCATAAACCAGTGCTTCTTTAAAAAGAAAATAATTAAAACCCACAAACCTAAATTTGCTAATTTTGGTGGGCCGGTAACAGTTTTTGATGGGTTCAGAGCCTTGTCTTCTGCGTGTCTTGTCAGCATAGTGCTTTTAGCTTATACAGTAGTATTTCCCATTTAATTTTGCATATAAATGTTTCAATTAAATGCATTAACTGCTTTTCTTCCTCAAAACTGTGGATAAAAATAAGTACTCAAATTTGCTTGTAACTTTAAGAAATGTATTAATGCTTAGGAGTAATGTCAGTTTTGCTCACACGGAGTACTCATATTGAACAAAAAACATTGTCATACATATTTATTACGCTTTCTTTTGAATGCCTTTCTCTTCACTGCAGTTTCTTTGTGTCTCTTCATTGCTTTGTTTCCACAGTTAGCACTTTAGTCTGTTACTGTCAGGTAAAGTAATCTTCCCAAATGTTCTTGGAATAGGACTATTAGGATCTGAAGACATAGAAGGTTCCCTCCAAAATGGCTAAACTGACTGTTAGCATTGCTGCTTAAGATAAAATTGACAGACGTTCTCCATTATAACATCCAGTTTTCAGCTGCTTCTTAGCCTTAACATTTTAACCACTGAACCATGCAGTCTTCATCTTCAGGTGTCTTTTGTTTGGTGAAGAAAAGCACATGAAAATGAAGTGAGCAGGAAATGTCTTCAAAAACAAAATGCCAGGACATTTTGAACCACATTTTTGGGATGCTTTAGTTTGTTTGATGTATTAGTATACAACCTGAAAGCTAATTTGCATATGGGAGGGTGAATGTTTTCTGTCTTCATGAAAATCCACTTACAGCTGGCAGACTTATGTCTAACACTTAGCTGTAAAATAAAACACAATACTGTAATTGGAAAAGGCCTGACTAAGGGAAAGCTAAGCTGCTTTCTAACTGCTGCAGAAGCCTGAAGTTTTTGTGCTGTGTTATGATTAAAAATGGGGGAAGTCATGGTATGTAGAGGTAGTCTCAGAATGCAGAATATGTTTTCATGTATGACATAACTATTGAAGTTGATTCTGCAAGCAGTTAAGTAACATCAAGTGTAGACATCTATAGTTACAAATACTTGTTTGGAGTAGTTAGTAGGGTTTTTAAAGAAATTCACAGAATTGACCTTGTTTTTCTAAGTCAGCGATCAGAAGGAGAGACCAAATGCTAGATTACTAGAAATGAAACAAATTGCAAAGTTCGTGGATCATTGTAAAAGGCTCTCTTTTGTGTGATTAGAGCTTCTGCTGAATTTAAATATTTATTATTATGTCTTAAAGTATTATTAAAGAAGTCAGTGTGAAGCATAGAGTATCTTTTGCTTTTGTTATAATGAGGAGCTACTGGAGTTTGCCTGAGATTTTCATTAAAATAATGGTTAGGCTGTGTGCAAAACACTTGTACTCAAATACGCATTGTATCTGAACAACATAAAACCTTTCTACAGCTTTTCTTGATTTTCTTAAGTTGAAATAGACTTCAAGAATAGCTTGGTTTTGGCTTTTTTTCCAGTGATAAGTAACTAGCTCTACAAATTCAGTGTACAGCAAATCACTGGAACATTTGCTAATAAGATGGTGGAATAAATTAGTTTTTAATTGAGAAGAATAATTGCTTAAGCAGATGCATGTGCTTATGCTCTTTTTTTTTTTTTTTTTGCGAGATTTGACTATTTTAATCAAATAATGTTTTTTCAAATTCTTCCCCAATAATCAAGGGAAGAGGGTATTATTTTTTTAGAACAAATAAATTAGATCTTGCCATATCTTACTTTCAGGTTTCAAAGGAAAATACAAAATATGAATGGCATAGTAATAGTATGAAACTTAGTACTACTGGACTCCCTTAGGTTCCTCGGGTTTTAACTTGCATGGAAAGTTTCTCAAACACTGCATTTCCCATACACACTTCTTTGCAACCTCTTATTAATCAGCAGCTTTGAGTCTTGAGCATAGTTTGTTCCTCTTTTTCTTTACTATGTTTGCTTTGAGTGTAGATGCTGGTGAGGTATAGAAGGACTGTAAGAGCCCCTTGTCTGTTTGGGAGATGGTTGTTTTGTGCATAGGGAATTCAAGCTGCTTTTGTTAGGGAATTTCTGACTTGTGAGGTAGAACACCAGATAGAAATTTTGTCAGGGCTTGGGAGCATCAGTTGCTTCAGAGTAATCATTAATGTTCCAGAGTAGGTGCAAAAATTAGGATTTAGAGCAAACTTTTACCTAATAAGTTTGTTTCTGTTACCTTCAACAACAGCAGTCATTGTGTGCAGTCTCCCAATATTTGCTGTCTCTTGAGAGTTAATTTTGCACAACAGCAATGTGGAATTCCTTGCACAAATGCAGAGCAATGTGGTGTTGTAGGGAGGTATAAAAGTTGCATACAAATCCAAAACTGGGGAAAACTGGCAGTACAGAAGTAATGGAAAAGAGTATCTGGGGTCAGTGAATGTTGAATCAAGCATTAGAGCTGAATTATTTGGGAGGGAAAGAAGAAGCTGGGATGTGTTAATGGGAATGTGTTTTTTAAGATGTAATTTGTCTCAGTAACTTAACCTTGTTGAGGTCTCTTTTGAAGCACTGCCTTGTCCAGACATCCTGCTTTAAGAAATGAGCAAATTGGAGGGCAAGTGAGAGGTTACAAGAGCAGTCAAGAGTTTTAGAAAGAATACCTGTCCAGAAAGGTTCAAAGGCCAAAGTGTGCAGTTTTGGAAGAAAAGGCAAGGGGTTGATCTACCTTCGAAAGATTTATGAAGGCTCTGTGTAAGGAGAATATTTTGGAAGCAGCTAGAGAAGAAACTGGCTTAAAATTTTTCTTTTTTTTTTTTTTTTTTGCAATGAATAAAGTTGCAAGCTTGAGAGTAATACAAATTCCTGCCTTTTTTCTTAGTATTATAAATTGTTCTATTTATTTTTTTAATCCAAATTATCTTACCTTAGAATTTAATTATTCTTTTAATCATGATCTAAGTTAATAAAATATTACAGGATGCTGTTTTTCTTGGGAGTTAGAGAATGTAGTGATAGTTGCCTTGTGTGTTGGTTAGAAGAGTGATTCAAGGTCAGGTTTACAATATTCCTTTAGCCTTAGCAGTGAAAATGGGATATTTAGCTAAAGATTTAGTGTGCAGTGACTGTGGCTGTGGAGAAAGGCAGTAAGATTCTGTTTACGTCATGATAGTTGCATGATTTTGGTATTAAACATGAAACGTGTAGCAAATGCAGGATTTGGATAGTATTTCACAGTTGAATTTTATCGCTTGTGGCTGGTTCATTGTTTTATCCAGTCTTAGTGAGTCCTCCATAATTTCCTGTGATTCACAGGTCATGTGTCCATTCACAAGTGCCTTTAATCTTTATGTTTTTACCTCGCAATTGATTCAGACTTCATAGTATGTCTTTGTTTTTTTGAGCTTGGATTGCTAAATAATTTTGGAGTGTATCTTCCCTATGAACAGTTTAGCCATTGAGAAACATGATTATTTTTGTTGAAGAACTTTTAATTTTGTTTTGTTCATAATTTCTGCTCACTCCTAAATCATTTCTGGTCTTTTCAGTTCTACAAGGATTTCAAATATGTTGAGTTGTAGTACTCAAAACCAGTTTTAATTAGCTGGGAAATGAATGCAAACAGCTTCTTCATAATTCCATTGAATAGCTTTGTTTACTAGGATCTAAAATATGAAGACTTCTGCAATGCTTCTGTTCTCTTAATAGCTTCTTTGAATTTAATCTTCACTCTGAAGTTTCTAGGTTTATGTATCCTTTGAGCCTGGTACTTCATCTTTGCACCGTAGTTGTGACAGAGTACTGCTGTATGTTGTTAATGCTACCTGCATTTAATGCTTTTATTTTTTATTTATGTCATAATTTTCAGAATGTGTGATTGAAAATAAGGAAAGGTAAAAACCCTGGAAAGTAACTAAGAAATACTGTTATGTATGGGTAAATGGTGGCATTACCGTGTTGAACGTAGGCAGGGGGTTGTCTGCTGTTACTGAAGTTAGCCAATTAAACAAGAAATACTTGCTCTGTATGTATGCACAACTGAGTAAAGTATACGACTTACAAAAATGGCATGTGCTTTTGTCATGTATCTATATATACACATCTGCACACACACGCAGTCTTTTCCAGGACTGTGACTACATAACAAGCTGGCCTCAGGTCTTTTTCTAAAGGAAATGCTATGTCACAGGTAGATAAAGAGCTTCTGTAGATGTGGGTGGCCAGCCGGCAGTGTGCTGTCCAGATTGAGTGCACTAGAGCAGTGTGGAAAGGTGAAAAAAAAATAGTGTTTTTTGTAGGCTCCTTAGGCGTAGGAGAGGAACAAACAAATAGCGGGCATAGGGGTCTTGCCTGAGTGCCTGATGCCATTATGGGACTGGACGTGCACATAGCTTCCATGTGGTGAGACTCGTGTATGCCTGGTCATGCAGCAGGAACATTTGTGCTTTTGTGATGTGATGATGCATATTGTTTGCCTAGTAATGAGCATGTCTGGTCATGTTAGTGATGAGGGGAGGTGTTCTGTAAGTTCTGTAAGCTGATACAGTTACTTACTGAGGAGGAAATTAGTACCACATAGGCTGCCCTAGACTAATGGATGTTAACCTTCAAAAAAAAATACCTATCTTCACCTGAAACCTGTATCCCCCAAAGTAAGGGTCACTTAGTTATCTAATGCGTGAAAGTAGTATTTACCTCATTCTGTAACCTTAGGTATTTAGTGTAGTGTTCTAAACTGATAAACACTTGATGATATTTTAGAGAAAGAAATTCATCTTGTTAAATTTTAAAATAGTCTTGTTTACTTGCTTTTATAGGAATAATAATTTATGGTTCTTTTTTCCCCCAGTTTAACTTTGTTGGAAGAATCCTTGGGCCCAGAGGACTAACAGCTAAACAGCTTGAGGCAGAAACAGGATGCAAGATAATGGTCCGAGGGAAGGGCTCTATGAGGGACAAAAAGAAGGTAAGCTTTTGAAAAGGTAGTGTAGTTTCAGATGCAGGGTTTTTTTCCTGATAGAGGGGTAAGCTCATGTCTCTTTTATTTGTTGTGTTCTTACTGTGTGTTTTTTAATTATCTAGCCTTTCTTACAGCCTTACTAAATAACAGTGTACCCTAAAGAAGTTAACTATGCATATTCCATAATGGTGCAATTGGGAGTCTAACTAGCAATTATGAAGTATTTTTCATCAGTAACTAACTTCTAATTGTGTCATGTTTCACAAAATAAAGTAAAAAAAATTGAAGATGAATACATTTTCCTGAGGAGGAGTTGTTAATCTTAAAAGTGTTGTTAGTAACATTCTAGCACTGAAATACCAAAATAATGTCTTGTGCAAGTAGTATGGATTGGGGAAAATGGTGAATGCATTACTGGCAGTGAATTCTCTGAGTGAACCAGGAATCACTGTGTTTCTGGATTTGTGTTAAGATGGAGTTGCAATGTAATTAGGAATGTTCCTTTCTCTGTCCTGTAGTATGTATGTGCATCCTGTATAAGTAGGTAAGCTACATCCTGAATTTCAAGTTGCTCTGGTGGTAACTCCTGGAAGTGATTTAGTTTTGCAGGCTGTTTCTAGCTATTTCACTCCATCTCTGGTTATTACTGCTCAAGTTGCATCAGCATCTCCACTGCATTTTTGAAATGTGTGCTTGTTTCCTCTTTGTTCTCCCCTTCTTTTCCTTATCTGATCAGCCATCTGATACATCACAAAATAGAAAGCTGATGTCTACCCAGTTACAAATGTCAGACATCCCAGAGTTTGTGTAGCTTTCAAAATCCATTTGATACCTTTTTTTTTCATAGTCTGATGTAAATACTATCACCATCCTTTCTCTAATTCTCCCCATAGCTGTTTTGGCTGCTTAGATTGCTGACTTTTGAGCAAAGATCTGTTTTAACCTAGAGAGTTCTTGGCTGCCCATGTTCTGTTAGAAGTAAGAGGGTGACGTTGTTTTAAAGACTCTATTCATGAAGGTTTACTTAAAAAAAGGGCAAAAAAAAACCCAACAAAACACAGTTTGTCCTGAATTCCTTCTGCTGCTTGGTTGGGGGCTCATATAACATATAAATAACTCCTACTGTTCTGGGGTTTTAAGTGATGGGTGGGTAAACAGAACTTGTAGAATTGATGGTTTTAGTAGAGAATTTTGAAACACGGGTTTCCTATGACTGGGGGTGTTAGGAGACATTAAAATTTCTGAGTATTAAAATTTCATCATGCTTCACTAAACATACCAAATTGTGCGGGTGTAGATGCTACATGTTAAAGGAAAGTATGGTTGCCAGTATGTGAACAGTCTTAAGCATACAGCTTTGTTTGCGACTACTAATAGTAGTCAAATTCTCACATATTCTCTTGTGTTGCTTAAAAATGCATACATATATGTGTATGTATGTATACATATATACATATATGTATCCCAGGGCAGGAGATCCAGTGAAAATAGTGCCTCCCTTTAAGAGAAGACTATTCAATCTACTCTTGAAAGCTGCCACTTTTTGTCTGGTAGATTAATTAGACCTTATGACTTCTGATGCCAATTGTAACAAAGTAAATCTTCACCACCAGGAATACACTAAAATATAGTTTGCAACGAATGAATTTTCAAGCTGTTAATTCCACAGAGAAGTACTGATGCCTTAAAAAAAAAAGTGAGTACTTCAGGAATTTTTCAGCTCTTTTCTTATTTAAACATAGTTTTTAAAAGACATTGTATTTTTATCAATACTACAGTCCTTACCTTCATTTATGGGCAAAATTTAAGTTTATTGCTTCTTCATCTTTGTTTTAGGAATGGTAATTCGATGTTGGGGTGGATCATCAGGAGTTAGATTATGTAACTGAATAAAAAATTTTGTTCTGGTTCATTTATGTTCATAGATCTCATAAGCTAAAACATTTAGGCTCATAGGCTAAAACATCAGGAAACTTAGACTGAGGCCCCAAGCTTAATGGTCCAGAAATAATGTCTCACTGTTAGTAGTGAATGTATGTATATTTAAAATAGTCATTAACAATGATGTTCTGATACATCCTTAGAAGTTCTGCAGACTAGCTTTGCCGTGTAGAAAATCGCACTTAGCTGCATTAGCAATAGCTATACTGCAAACAGCTTCCAAAGTGTAAAAAGAAAGAATAAAACTGCATCTGAGGCCTCAGCTTTTCTTCTGATGGGACCCATTTTCCTATAAATATTTGATTTGCAGACTCCTCGATAGAAATCACTTAGAAGAGTGAAAATTACTTTTAGATTTCTGGAAATTGCTGTGTTCCTTGGCCCACATATCATAATCCATCCCTCACCCCTATCATGCTCCATCTCTTCCTTGTCTGTGTTCATACTAGCCTCAACAGAAACCAGTGTGGCCCAATGAATTCCACATTTGGGTATGGTAGCCATTTTGCAAACTGTGACTGACAGAGCATTTGTTAGAGCTGTAACAGCCTTTGGTTTTTGACAGCTTTTTATGTTAAGTCCCACTACCATGTTACCAGCAGAGCAGGGACTTGCGCACCTCCAGCCAGTTGTAGTACCTGTACATGTACCACGTCCTTCATTACTCTCAGCTGCCAGCTAGGATAAGCACATTCTCTGAAGTGGTGTTGGTCACGACCACGTGTTCTGACTTACCTAGTCAACATCTGTGTAGGTCTTGGAGTTTATGAAATGTCTTTTACAGAATCAGTCAGGTTAGGAAGGGATTTCTGGAGGTTCTCTTGTCTAATACTCCTCCTCAAGCAGGGTTACCTAGAAGAGGTTGCCAAGGACTGCGTCTAAATGGCTGTTAGGTTTAGCACCTGCAGCCTCCCACTACTGTACTTCAGAACCTGGCCTCCTATGGGGAGTCACCTTGCTTAGAGAGTTTGGGGAGGTTTACTGTCTGGGAAAGTGTTATGGTTTAGACTGATTCCCCCCACCCCCCAGCTGTGCCCACTCTCTTTAGTTTTATTTATTTATTCTTTAGCTGCTCCGAGGAGATTAGGCAATAGTCAGCTACTGGAGTTTTGTTTTTTGAGAAGACAGAGGAGCTGAGACCTTCTGAGTATGAGTTGCCTGTCTTTTTGAAGTTTAGTAAGAAAAGTGAAGCTGTCTTTGATAAGGACGAGTTCTGTATGGCAGATCAGATAGAACTTTGTATGCATGAAAAGCTACAAACTGACCCAGACAGTGCTTGATGCCTGTTACCTCTTCTGAGTTGTCTGTTGTGTGATACTTCAGGGCACAGTGTACTTGACCATTGATTTCATGAGATAATTCTACAGTGGTGTTGAATATTACATAGTTCAGTATGTTTGAATGATATAATAGTATAATGTATTTGAATAGCCCATAGTATAATACGGGCTATAAAGTCATGTTGAGTACCAGATAATTTTCTTGATATCTATTTCATGGTATCCATTCCTAATCTTTCTGTTGCGATTTTCTCTCCTGAGGTGATTGGTATTAGCCAGTAGTTTATCTTTTTCAGACTGAACTTTTTGGTGCTATACGATTGTTGCTGCAGTAGGAAGGATTTCATAACCGTTGATGATGATGCAGTTTGTGATGCACCCCAATATGGTGTTTCTTCTAAAAATAAAGATTTGGAAGCTATATTCAAGATTCAGTGATCACAAACAGACTAAAGTAAGAACAAGTGACATTTATTACTTTGAGGAGTAAGTATACTTATTGCTATTAGCGCTTGCCTCTTTTCCTGATGAATTATACTTATAGATAAACTCCTTAGTTTTGCAGTGCAAGATGACCGACTTGGCAGTTAGTGTCTTTTTAATGATAACAATCTTTTTATTTTCTCAAGGGGTTCCTCTCTTTGCAGGTTCTATTTCAAAATGCTAATGTACTTCAAAGTGTAAAATGCAGAAGTAATAGTATTCTCTCAGGAAAGGTTAGGTTACTCTAGCAGTTCTTTAAAGCCTTTTCATATAAGTCAACGCTATTTAGAAAAGTGAATATTCAAGGTTTTTCCAGTTTTTTACTGAACTGCTTTGCAATTTGGAGGAAATAAGAAATGCAGGTTAATTTGCATGTATATTCTGTGTTTCACATCTGCAAACCTGGTTGCCAGGTGATAGTTGTAAAAGAAACCGTATTGAATGTGGGAAGGAATTACTTACTAAACAAAGTGTCAGTCTGTAATGTGAAAGCTGTGTGGTGCTAAATACTTTCTCCTAGAATAAACTGTCCATCTACACATTTCTTCCTACCTTGCTAGTGGTTGCAGAATCCAAGAGAAAATAGACTGACATGTTGGAAAATGAACCATTTATATTTGCTCTATAGAAAATTCTGCTCTCCTGTGTAAGCCTACAGACAGAAGTAATGAATTAGAAATCTTTGTCACGTAACCAAATCATTCCAGCTAGAATCAAATCTTGAAAATTTGTGACAAACTTCCCCCAGAAGGAAAGGGAAATAGTCAAATAGGATCTGAGACACAGGTGGCGATCAGAACATCTCTCTGGGCAGCTGTAGGCAAATTCAAAATCAAAACCTTAATTGCTGAGACTATTGTGATTAAAGCCTGGAGGTGCTTGGAGGAGATTATTGAGGAGGGGAGAGGGGTTGCAGGCATTTATCAAAAGCTAATGAATGTGTAACTTTATTAAAACCAAGGTGGTTTTAGCTTAGTCTGAATGCACCTCTCATTAGGTAATGAGGAAAACTAGCAATTTTCACACCAATTAAGCATACTGCTTAATTAAAGGGAAGACTGTCCAATGATGGATAAGCAAAACATTGGTATTTGTCATTTCCCTTGTCTTACATGAATTCCATAAAACAGGCATTAACATATCTATAAGGAGTCAGCTGTATAGGTATTCTGTACCCCTCTATCACTTACAGGTGTATAAAGCCTTACAGTGTCAGGCTGATGGCTTGTGGTAGTCTTGGCAACTGCATGTTTTTTTCCCATTTCTTCTTCCTACATTTAGTCAAGAATCTTCTCCAGAAGT